ATCACCCTCTCCGGGAGAATGTCATGTGAATGACGCCAGTGCCGTGCTAAGGGCCGTAGTGAAAACCCGGCCATCGCAGGTGGGCGGCTGGTTGGCTGCTGCTGCCAAAATCCCGCAGAAGCACTGGGACTTGGCCTCGGGACTTGGCCTGAGTGCCCAAACCCTAAACCCTAAACCCTAAACCCTAAACCCTAAACCCTAAACCCTAAATGCCCTCCAACCAGAGTTCACCTCCTCCGTCGGGTTAGTGCAAGACCAGATGCATCGGGTGCCCCCGGGATCGAGAGTTGCACGTTAGCGTCCAGGGTTTGGGGGCTTAGGGTTTAGGGTTTTAGGGTTTAGGGTGTAGGGGTTTAGGGGGATAGGGGTTTAGGGATTAGGTCTAGATCCGGGTTGAGTGCGGGTCTTGGGGTTTGTAGGGGTTTATTGTTTTAGGGTTTTAGATTTTGTCGGGCATTCGGGAGCTAGGGTTTAGGGTTTTTGGGGCTTAGGGTTTTATTTTAAGATTTTAGGGTTTCAGGGGTTTAGGGTTTTGTGTGGTTCAGAGTTTTTACATTTAGAGCTTTCGGGCTTCGTGTTTTAGGGTTTAGGGTTCTGCGGGATGGGCTTTTCGGGTTATTGGGTTAGGGCTTCAGAGGTTTACCGTTTTGGGGTTTTGGGGTTTTGGGGTTTTGGGGTTTTGGGGTTTTGGGGTTTTGGGGTTTTGGGGTTTTGGGGTTTTGGGGTTTTGGGGTTTTGGGGTTTTGGGGTTTTGGGGCTTTGGGTTTTTTAGGGGTTTGCCGTGTGCAAAGCTTAAGAAGCCGGACCTACTGGTGCTGTGGTGGACGAACGTATCCCAAGAGTATGCAGCCCCAGGGCCTATAAGCCCTAAGCCCTCAACCTAAACCCTATAAGTCCTAAACCCTAAGCCCTAAGCCCTAAACCCCCCCTATACTTCGACTGGTTTCATGTTCCCTGGGGCTTCCAGACGAACCTAAACCCTAAACCCTAGACCCAAGACCCTAAACCCTAAACCCTAAACCCAAAACCCTAAGCCCTCAACTCTAAACCCTAAACCCTAAACCCTAAACCCTAAACCCTAAACCCTGAGCTGAAGTCGCTGCCTGCAGGTCCGCCGGCGAGCCTTCGGCGCTGCCCGGCAGCACAAGTTCCCCAGGCAGCCTGGCTTTGGCAGGTTTGGGGTTTAGGGTTTAGGGTTTAGGGTTTAGGGCTAGGGTTTAGGGTTTAGGGTTTAGGGTTTAGAGGTTAGGGTTTAGGGTTTAGGGTTGAGGGTTTAGGCTTTAGGGCTGAGGGTTTCGGGGTGTAGGGTTTGGGCTTGGGGTGAAGGCTTGGGGCTTGGGGTTAAGGGTTTAGGGCTTGGGGTTTGGGGATTAGGGCTTGGGCTTTCAGGTTTGGGGTTTAGGGGTTTGGGGCTGGGGGTTTAGTAGGGCTTGGGGTTTGGGGTTTGGGGTCTAGGGTTCCGGAATTATGGGCTTGGGGCGTTGGGGGTAGGGTGCATGGATATTAAGGTGCATGTGGGGTCTGCATTGGGTTTAGGATGGACTGGGCTTTCGGGCCCTGAACCCTAAACCCTAATCCCTAAACCCTAGCCCTAAACCCTAAACCCTAAACCCTAAATCCTAAACCCTAAACCCTAAACCCTAGTCTCCTGGTTGTTAGAGAGGGCCGACCGGTGCACAGGGTGATGGCTTCCAAGTCGGAGGGCTTGGAGAAAATACAACCCTCCTAAACCCTAAACTCTAAACCCTAAACCCTAAACCAGGTATCGTTTCCAGACGTTAGACCCCAATGTAGGTCTTATGTGTATGCTTGGAGTTTTCGGGAGATGCAGCAGAGCAGACTAACTTCAACAATCATAAAAAAGCATGTTCAAGAACCAAGTGGAACATAGACATAGCAAGTCAGTTTACAGTTTCTCGCTGGGTGTTTTCACGCATTGGCCCTCATCCTAAACCCAAATTCAAAAACAGACTCTAGTCACCCCAGTCAACCCTAAATCCCTAAACCGCTGAGCCCCTAAGCCCCTAAGCCCCTAAACCCGTACACCCGTAAACCCGTAAACTCCTAAACCCCTAAACCCCTAAATCCTACACCCCGTACCCATCTTCAGGAGTTATAAATGCGGCTACCCTTGCTCATGCGTAGGGTTTGGGTTGAGGGTTGAGGGTTGAGCCCTGAACCCTCTGCAAACTCGAAGGCGCCAAGCCTTCCGCCAACCTTCTCAAACCCCAACCTCTCACCCCGAATCTCTAGACCCGAAACCTACTTATGGCGCACCCGAGGTTGACGTGCACACTGTAGGTGCTATACCCGAACCTTGTAACCTGGAGCTGTCCTGAACCCTAAACCCTAGCTAACCCCCCCCCCCCCCACAAAAATCAACACTCAACCATACTGAGCTTGGAACCCTAGCAAAAATCAATCACAATTTAGCTGTTTCTTGGACATCAAAGTACCCCAAAAATCACAAAACATTTCCGAGCATCCCTCAGTCAACCCTACAATCGATCAATCCTAACTTGTCGAGCCTCGCTCCGTCTGACGTCGTCGTTCGCATGGTGCTACCTTGGCAGCGTGCATACCGGAAAAGAGGGGGGGTGGGGGAGCGAGTTGCTGTTGAGGGTTCCCCCTTTTACTGACAGTCCTTAAAAGGGATTATAGTACCCCGCTACTATTATCCCTATTAGGGACTGCTAGTATAAACCCTATACCCTCAACCTTAAACCCTAAGCCCTAAGCCCTAAACCCTAAACCCTACCATCCCAAGTTTAGGGAAAAGCGTTTTTGGATTAGCTCGACTATGGAGGCGCCTCTCTCTCCTCTAGCAGCTTATTTCGGGCTGAAGGAGCGCACCCTACCCTTAAGGGTCTAGGGTTTGGGGTTTGGGGTTTGGGGTTTAGGGTTTAGGGTTTAGGGTTTAGGGATAACCCGAAACCATATAGTTAAGCCCTATAAGCCCTAAGCCCTACACCGTATACACCCTCAATCCCAAACTCCCCTGAACCTGGAAAGCCTAATCCCGAAATCGTATAGACCCAAAGCCTTAACCCTGAACCGTATCAACCCTAAACCCTAAACCCATATAAAGCCTATAAGCCCTAAGTCGTAAAACGCCTGAACTCTCAACCCCGAACCGTATCAACCCCAAACCCTATAAACTCCGAGATGGTGCAGGGGCCTTTCTGGATAAAGGTTTGTTCGACGTCGTGGCAAGATTGAAACATACCGTTTCTGGAGAAACGAAACTCCAAACTACACCTTCACTCTAAGCCCTAAACCCTAAACCCTAAACCCCAAACCCCAAACCCTAAACCCTAAACCCTAAACCCTTACAAAAAGGGGCCAAGGAGCAGCTCTCGTCCGCTGACAGCTCCGACGTCGAACCTGCGCGTCGCAGAGCTTCAGGGTCTATGTGCGACCTTTCCTGTGCGTTTTAGTTGGGGTTTAGGGTTTAGGGTTTAGGGTTTAGGGTTTAGGGTTTAGGGTTTAGGGTTTAGGGTTTAGGGTTTAGGGTTTAGGGTTTAGGGTTTAGGGTTTAGGGTTTAGGGTTTAGGGTTTCGGGTTTCGGGTTTCGGGTTTGGGGTTTAGGGTTTAGGGTTTAGGGTTTAAGCTTTAGGGTTTAGGAGAAGGTTTAGGGTTTAGAGCTTAGGGCTTAGGGCAGTGGGCTTTGGGTTTAGGATTTAGGTGAATGGCAGGGGACTGGCCAGGCTCTAAACCTAAACCCCAAGACCTGTTTCCTTTGCTCCTCTTTTGTTGGGGGTGCCTCAAAATGCGGGCATCTTTTCGTGTTAAAGGGTATGCAGAGGGGGTTGATGGTTTTGGGGCTTCAGGACTGTAGGGGTTGAGGGTTCTGAGGGCTTACAGGGCTTTGCAGGGCTCTAGACGGCTTCATGGGGCTTTTTCGGGCTTCAGAGGGCTTTATAGAGCTGAGAGGCCTTATAATAGGGCTGGGTGACAAAGGGCTTCTGTGGCTACATCGAAGGCTTCGAGCTCGTAGGGCTAATGGCCTTATATGGTCGACTCCAGTGGCTGGGAGGGGGGGGGGGGGGGCATGTTCCTTGACTGTTTCGGCCCTCGTCGGCCGGGGGGGGTGAAGTTCGTGTAGGGCTTAGGGCTTAGGGCTTCGGGCTTAAACCTTAGGTCTTAAGGCTTAGGGCTTAGGGCTTAGCGCTTAGGTCTTAGGGCTCAAGGCTTAGGGCTTAGGGATTAGGACTTGGGGCTTAGGGCCGGGAGTTAGCGCAAGCGGGAGAGTGAGCCGAACCTTATGTCGCTTCAGAACGGTTGAAGCTGTGCCGGATGCACTCAAGCACAAGCTGCTGCTCTCACAACTCGACAAGAAGCTCATGAAACACCTTGGCTGGGGGACTGTAGCACATATCCTCTGAATCAGAGCCAAAGCAGGTCGAACAGCAAGGTGTGCTTTTGGATGTTCCCCCTTATACTCACAGTCCTTAATAGGGATTATAATATAGTACCCCCCCTTCTAATCCCGACTAAGGACTCTCAGTATAGGGGGGGGGGGAAAATAATTCAGGCAAGCATCTTAGGCCAAAGCTGCCGTGGTCCCAAAGCTGCCGTGGTCGACAAACGATGGCTCATTCGGTTCGGTATCCCAAGTACGCCGCAATGATGGCAGGCTAAACCCTAAACCCTAAACCCTAAACCCTAAACCCTAAACCCTAAACCCTAAACCCTAAACCCTCATCTTGAGCCTTGAAGGTGCGTGGTCATTGTTCCGGGACACAATAAGGGTGAACCTTCCTTAGAGGCGTAAGGTGTAGTTCGGGACTGACAGAAGCCTCCAGAATGATGATGACGTCTGGCTTGTCTCCTGCCTGGTGCGGAACGCCACTCTTGGTCGACCGTTGTGGTCATTGATTCTCCGTCTTCTCGCGGCTTGGTGGCAAGCACGTGGGGTCAGACACTCCGAGTCGCGCAGAAGGTCTCATCTATCGGCCATGTACCTCTGTGTGCACTTGCGCTGCCTCATCTTGCAGCAGCTACGACACAAGCCAAATGGGCGTTGATTCCAGCAGCCGGGAAACATTCCCAGGCTGCAGTGCATGCTCACATGCATCGAGAACGAACTGGTAGGTAAGCACGTTCCTGCGTCGGGGCGAGGGCTGCACATGTGTGATTCAACTTTTGCTGCACTGTAGCTTTATCCATGTACCCTAAACCCCAAACCCTAAACCACGTGTAAGCACACTTAGAAGACTTAGAGCACCCCCCCCCCCCCCCCCCCCGTTTTGGGGCGTTCTCGGATCCCTTAGGGGGTTTTTACGATAAATGATATGGTTCCTGAGTCCCCCCCCACCCACCCCAAAAACAAGAAAAGGACCCCCTGGGTTTAGGGTTTAGGGTTTAGGGTTTAGGGTTTAGGGTTTAGGGTTCTGTACAAAACATTGCTCTGGCTTCAAGTCAAGCATCGGCAGCACGGCGGCACGAAACAAATTGGCCAGCAGCTGGACCGCTTGCTGCCTGGATAGCTCAGGAACCATATCATCACCAGGGTGCCCTAAACCCTAAACCCTAAACCCGAAACCCTAAACCCGAAACCCTAAACCGTAAGGGATCCGATCCGAGAATGCTCAAAAAGGGGGGGGGGGGGGCAAAAGGGTTCCCAAGCTGGGCGACCATTGGTAGGAGCTTGCGCACGCGGCAATCGCGGAATTCCAGGCCACCGTGTCCTGGTCTTGACTGCTTAGGGTTGAGGGTTTAGGCTTAGGGTTGAGGGTTGAGGGTTGAGGGTTGAGGGTTGAGGGTTGAGGGTTGCGGGTTGAGGGTTGAGGGTTGAGGGTGGAGGGTGGAGGGTGGAGGGTGGAGGGTGGAGGGTTGAGGGTTGAGGGTTTAGGGTTTAGAGTTTAGGGTCGCCTGACCAGAAAGCCACGTAAATCATCCTCCTAGGCTCCAGAGGCATAGTGCTTTCCCAGAGGAGATGCAGTGCCATCGGCCACTTCCTTGCAGGTGGGCATGCTGGGGTTCAGGGTTCAGGGTTGAGGGTTCAGGGTTCGGGGTTTAGGGGAGGAGCAGAAGCCCTAATCCCCAAATCCTAAACCTCTCAGTCCACACCTAGACTTAGACTAGCCCTGCACCTTAGACAAGGCAGATGTACCCAACGACCGCAGAAGTTGGTTGGTTCAGGTAAACCCTGAGCAAGATGAAAATTTAACCTTCAACCCTAAACCCTAAACGCTAAACCCTCAACCCTAAACCCTGTTGTCTAAGCTTGGGCCCCTTCTGGACGTCTTTGCAAGAAAGAAACGGCAAACTCCAATTCATAACTGCATTTGTACGTTTAGGGTTTAGGGTTTAGGGTTTAGGGTAACCTCAGGGTGATTAAGGCATCTTGTAAAAGGCTCTGGAGAACCCTGCGCCCTTTACAGGCATCCGGCCGTTTGGGGCTTCTAGGGTTTAGGGTGTAGACAACCCTAGACCCCTAAACCCTATATCCCAAAACCCAACACCCTCAAACCCACGCACTAACCTTTGAATCCCACAAAACCCTACACCCTAACCCCCGAATCCCACAACCCTCAAGAGAGAGAGAGAGAGAGAGAGACAGACAGACAGAGAGAGTGTGCTATTTGCTTAAGAGCCCCCAAAAAAATTAAAAAGCAAAAAAAGCCAGATTACCCTTATGAGGAAGAATACTTGTGTTTTTTGAGGGGTTCTTAAGCAATTGTTAGGAGAATTACTTCTTCTTGGTTAGCAGGGAATGAAGGAATTAGGGCCCTATGTATACCCTTCAAGGGATTATATAGGGTACCTCCTTCCCCCATTGCCTCCTCACCAACAACCTAAACCCTAAACCCTAAACCCTAAAACCTAAACCCCAGGCCTTCCCTCCGCACAGGCCGTGAGAGCAGCGCTGCAGCTCACCACCGAGGTGTCCAGCAGCTCCCGCGCATCGCTCCAGAGAAGTTCCAGCCTTTAAGGGGGTTTAGGGTTTAGGGTTTAGGGTTTCGGGTTTCGGGTTTAGGGGGTTGCAGGGGTACTTGGTAGCCCAGCGACTATATTATAACTAGGGCACGTTACTAAAAATAAGGGAACTGACAAGGCCCAACTAAGGGCCATTGGGCGCTTGAGGCAATTTATGGGATTTTGGGGTTTGGGGTTCATGGACTATGGCTGTTGTGCCCAATGAATTACAGGATTTTCCTGGCTTGCTCTCGAACCAAAGCAAGATCCTGCCTACTAGATGTGGCGGTGGTTAGGCCCAAGAAGGATCACGAACAGGCACCAGACTTCGAGCATGACCCTAAACCCTAAACCCTAAACCCTAAACCCTAAACCCTAAACCCTAAACCCTAAACCCTAAACCCTAAACCCTAAACCCTAGCCCTAAACCCTAAACCCTAAACCCTAAACCCTAAACCCTCAACCCTATAAACCCTAAACCCAAGGACAACGGACATGATGGAGATGGAAGAAAAGAACCCAAATTCTGCCGCGCAGCGCCAGTCGCCACTTCGATCCGTTTCCTGGGCTCGGGGCCTAAATAGCTAGAGGAGGGTTTAGGGTTTAGGGTTTAGGGTTTGTATAATCATATCATATAGGGATCATGACAAGGGAACTTCTCTGAGTAATTGTTCCGACCCCGACATTCTGCCCCCCCCCCCCCCCCCCCCCCCCCCCCGATACCCTAAACCCTACATAAACCCTAAACCCTAAACCCGAAATCCCAAACCCATCGACAAACCTCCCTCCCTGCAGCACACCGGCAAGCACTGAAACCCTAAGGGTCCGTGTACATTATTGTGTACTTGGGCCCTAAAGTCCCTAAATAGGAAGTACTTTAAGGCCCAAGTATTCCATATTTAGGCACATGGACCCTTAGGGAAAAGCCGCAGGCGGAATCATGTGGGGGCTTACGTAGAAAGAGAGGTTTAGGGTTTGGGGTTTGGGGTTAAGGGTTTAGGGCTTGGGGTTTAGGGTTTTCCGGTGTTAGGGGTGCCAATTTTGGGCTCATTCTGAATCCTACTTTCCCTAAACCCTAGACCCAAAACCCAAAACCCAAAACCCTAAACAATAAAGGGGGGGTTCTTTTTAGAGTTCCCCAAATTTTCGTAAACCCCCCATGTGGCAAGAACATGCTGCGCACTGTGCTCTGGAGATGTCTTTGGGGGAGGGGGACCCTACGCTTGCCCTAAACCCTAAAACCCCTAAACCCGAAACCCCAAACCCTAAACCCTAAACCCTAAACCCTAAACCCTAGTCACAAGCCCTCCAAACCCTCTATAAGGCTTTTCCACCTGCCCAGGCCGCGCGTCCGCAGGCGCTGGTGCAGGCTGCATAGCTGAAGACATCGCGTCGGAGGGCATTGCCGGGGAGCGAGGTAAAGAGATCCTCAGACTTGAAAGGTGTTTTGTTTGGAAGGGGATTAAAGGTGAAAGGGTTGAGGGGTCTCACCCTAAACCCTAAACCCGTAACCCTAAACCCCTCTTTCCTATAATAATTTAAACCTTAATGACCTTCGTGGTTTAAGGCCCAGTATTCGTGGTTTAAGGCCCAGTTGCCTTCGGCCTTAAACCACGAATTCTGGGCCTTAAACCACGAAACAGGTTCGTGGTTTAAGGCCCAGAATTCATGGTTTAAGGTCCAGAATTCGTGGTTTAAGGCCCAGAATTCGTGGTAAGGCCCAGAATTCGTGGTTTAAGGCCCAGAAATCGTGGTTTAAGGCCCAGAATTCATGGGCCCGTCGTTCCCTTCGGCCTCAAACCACGAATTCCTCAAGGCCTGGAGTTTAGGGCCTGGGGAGGCTAACGCAGAGATGCAATGGCAAGAATATGAAGTTAATAATATTAAGTGTGTTTGTTGTGTCCGTTCGTTTAGGCCTTTGAAACTGAGATGATTGGAGGATACTCGTATTTTGTTTTTCTCAATGTTGTGGGACTCTCTGGGTGGGTGGGTGTTATATCAGAGCCGTAAATAAACTTTACCATAAAACTGCTCGATCCGGAGCTGCTGAACACCCTTAACCCTAAATCCTTAACCCTAAACCCTAAACTCTAAACCCTAAACCCTGAGTTTAGGGGCTGAGGGCCCATGGGGCCTTCGAAACTGACGGAAGTCTTGGGGATGCGCTGGCCTGGCGGCCCTCAAGGCCAAGGGACAATAAAGAACGCGAGGTTTAGGGTTTAGGGTTTAGGGTTTAGGGTTTAGGGTTTAGGGTTTAGGGTGTAAGTTCTTTCTTTAAGGTTTTTGTGCTGTTTGTTCAATTTTCGTGCTTCAGGGTTTGAGGATACTAGGGTTCCAGGTTTGGGGCTTTGAGTTGTTGGGAGTTCTAGAGGACTCTAGGGTTCCAGGGTGCTAGGGCTTTGGTGGCTAAGGGCCTTTAGGGCTTAGGAGTTGGAGGGTTTTTACGGTTTTGGGAACCTACCAGGCCCCCTGGCCTCGGGTTCAGGGTTTAGGGTTTAGGGTTTAGGGTTTAGGGTTTAGGGTTTAGGGTTTAGGGTTTAGGGTTTAGGGTTTAGGGTTTAGGGTTTAGGGTTTAGGGTTTAGGGTTTAGGGTTTAGGGTTTAGGGCTCCTTTGCCCTACAAAACGACAGCTGGATGCCTAAACCCCAAATCCTGGACCTCAAGTCCTAGCCTGCTGCGGCTCAAGCCCTATATTAAAGAATCCCATCCTGAACCCTAAACCCTAAACCCTAAACCCTAAACCCTAAACCCTCAACCCTTGTAAACCCTAAACCCTAAACCCTGTCAGGAACAGGGTGCCATGGCAAGTTCCCACACAGCCACCTTCTCACCTGGGAGAGAGAACTTGACGCTGAAGCAGATGGTTGAGGGTGTTAAATTGAGGGTTCAGGTTGCGAATTTCGGGATGAGAAGCATGTCCTTGCTGCTGGGCCCGCAAACCCTGAACCCTGAACCCTGAACCCTACGCCCTAAACCCTGAACTTCCCCAGGTGTGTTGAAGGTCCTTCCTGGGCCCCCCCCAAGTACTCCCTGAACATGGGCCGAAGTACACTTGTTTTTTTTGTTGGGGGGGGGGGGGGGGGGGGAGGGGTATTTAGGGCGTCTTCTTACCTGGGGTGGGGGTCTGGGTAGGGAAGGTATAAGGTTTATGGGGGTTTAGGGTTTATAGGGTTTAGGGTTCAAGGATTTTAGGGTTTTAGGGTTTCATGGTTTCAGGGTTTGGGTTTTGGGGTTCATGATCGACTGCACTTCAAGGTGGCGTCGAGTCGAGCTACCAGGGTTCCGAGGGCTTAATGCTTGGGGGTGTGGGGCGCTCATCACCCCCCCCCCCCCAACAAAACCACCTGGAGCCTAGTCTCCTAAGCTCTTTGTGAAAAGGAAGACCCTAAACCCTAGACCCTATAAACCCTATAAACCCTATAAACCCTATAAACCCTATAAACCCTATAAACCCTATAACCCCTATAAACCCTATAAACCCTATAAACCCTATAAACCCTATAAACCCTATAAACCCTATAAACCCTATAAACCCTATAAACCCCATAAACCCTATAAACCCTATAAACCCTATAAACCCTAAAGACCCTAAACCCTAAACCCTAAACCCTAAACCCTGAACCCTGAACCCTAAACCCTAAACCCTAAACCCTAAACCCTACCGCGGCTCAGCCTTACCTCACACCCCAACAGGCCCAACCCTCAGACCGAAACCCCGCCCCAACCTCCAAAGAACAACGCCCTGAGCCCTGATGAACCTACAGCCTCGGCCTCTTGGGTTTAGGGTTTAGGGTTTAGGGTTTAGGGTTTAGGGTTTAGGGTTTAGGGTTTAGGGTTTAGGGTTTAGGGTTTAGGGTTACCCTAATCACCCTAACGAGTCCTACAGCCCTAAGCCTCACACCCGAACATCCCAGCAGATCCTAAGGCCCAAGCCCGAATAAACCCTAAACCCTAAACCCTAAATCCTAAACCCTAAACCCTAAACCCTAAGCCCTCTGAGGCCTAAGCACGAATGAGGGAAATAGGGCCCTATATAGACCCCTTCAGGGAGTACTATGGGGTACCTCGTCACCCTCATTCCCTACTAAGAACCAGCCAGAACAGGGAATCTCAAATATTCAAACCCTAAACCCTAAACCCTAAACCCTAAACCCTAAACCCTAAACCCTAAACCCCCAAACTCTGTACAAAGTGCCACCGAAGGTGCAGGCGCTGGTCGCGGCGTTGAAGGTGATGAGATCGGACGTCAAGCGCCTGGCATAACAGGAGGGTTTAGGGTTTAGGGTTTAGGGTTTAGGGTTTAGGGTTTAGGGTTTAGGGTTTAGGGTTTAGGGTTTAAGGTGTTCCCCCTGACACTAACAGTCCTTCATCGGGATTAGAACCGGGGGTACTACAATCCCTATTAAGGGCTGTTACTATAATAATAACCCTAAACCCTAAACCCTAAACCCTAAACCCTAAACCCTAAACCCTAAACCCTAAACCCTAAACCCTAAACCCTAAACCCTAAACCCTAAACCCTAAACCCTAAACCCTCAGAAGGGGCGGTCCTCCAGGGATTAGGACCCAAATCCAAAGCTTTGGCTTTAGGGTTTCTTTTTGGGCTTAGTGTTTAGGGTTTGGGGTTTGGGGTAGGGGTTTTAGGGTCGTGACTTCGGACTTAGATTTTTTCGGGTTGCTCTGTCTTTAGTCCCCTCAGAACCGTATGAAAACCGAATTTGTCGTGTATATCCTACACACGAAAAAGTCTTCGGGCCCAAAGCCCAAGATAGATAATTATCTCTCAACCCTAAACCCCTTTTAGACCCCAAACATCCCTAAACCCTGAACTCAAAGCACCTGGCGGGCATCCACGCGGAGCAAATCTGCAACGCTTTCAGCCACGCGCCCGCTTTTTCACAGACACCTCGAGTTTGGGGGTTTCAGGAGGCCGTTTGGAACTTATCTCGGGTGTGTAGCCCAAGGTTCCCGAATACTCCCACTACTATATGGGGGATCCCAACGCTTCCCTAAAGTTCCCTATCTGAACGCCCCCTCCCTTAAGGATCCTATAAGGAACCTGAAACCTAGATCCGAAAACCAAAGCCCCTGAACCCCCAGAAAACCCTTCTGAAATCCGATGCAAGCCTATCACCCTGAACAAGCACCCATGAAAAAAGCCCGAATAATACCCCTGCATGATAGAGGTACCTCCCATGATCTGGGGGGGGGGGGGTCCGAGGTATGCCTTGTTTATACCCCAGTCTACGAAATTTTGGGATGTTACCCCTTATGCGAACAGTCCTGAATAAGGATTATCGTACCCCTATAAAAATCCTATTCTGCACTGTTAATTTAAGGAAACCCTAAACCCTAAACCCTAAACCCTACACCCTAAACCGCGCTGAAAAGGAGACTCCACATTTCGCGGCCAAGCGGCTCGCTACCGCATTGAATGCACCTCGCGAGATGGATACATAGGGTTTGTGGGTTTGGGATCGCGTCTTGGTGCTTTTGAACTAGGTGGTTTCCGCAAATTAGGGTTTAGGGTTTAGGGTTTAGGGTTTAGGGTTTAGGGCCCTAAACCCTAAACCCTAAACCTAAACCCTGTTCCGCACCGGGGACCGTTGTGCGCGGGGAGTGAAATCTAACCAAAAACACATGGGCTGAAGAAGAAGGTCAAGGGGGAGGGGGGAGAAGAAGATCAGATGGTACCTGTCTCTTCAGTTGAAAGGAGGTTTCCGGAAGTTTCGGCTACCTATTTTGGGACTCCTATCAGAAAAAAATGTTTGTACTTGTTTAGGATGGGGGACTTCTAGTCCAGCTTAGAACCCTTGAGCTCTATCATCCCTACCTCTGGCCTACTTTGGGAGGTTTAGGGTTCAGTGGTTTAGGGTTTCGGGGTCGCCTTGATACCTCAGAACCCCACTTAAACATGGTAGGTTTTACCGTTCTTGATGGTTTTTGGGGGGAAACCCGAAAGCCGAATCAAACCCCAAACCCCAAGCACTCATCATGTAAACCCTCGCAGGGTTTGGGGTTTGGGGTTTAGGATTCAGGGTTCAGGGCTTAGGGTTACTTGGTACCTGGTAGCCCAGTGACAACAAAACGAAAGATGTTCCCTCATAAGGGCCAATATAGGATGATTATCTTTTATTTTCTAGATTTCTTAAGCAAATAGTAGTACCACAAACACTAAATTAAGCCTTAAGCCCTAAACCCTAACCCCAAACCCCAAACCCTAAACCCTAAACCCTAACCCAGTGCTACCACTGCATGACAACCCCCTGAAGCCCAGACTCGCGCCGGCGCACGGGGCAGCTACGAGAAGCGCCCCCGCTTCGTCCCAAGCGCGCCGCCTGAGGGCGTTGAGGGCTTCAGGGTCTAGGATGTGGGGTTTAAGGCTTCCGGATTTAGGGTTTAGGGTGTGGGGTTTATAAGGGCTTAGGTTTCGGGTTTCGGGTTTCGGGTTTCGGGTTTCGGGTTTCGGGTTTCGGGTTTCGGGTTTCGGGTTTCGGGTTTCGGGTATTAGGGCGTAGGACGTGGGGTTTAGGGGGGTTGAGGGCTTTGGGGTTTGGGGGTTGAAGGGAGGGTCAGGCTTAGGCTTTGTGGGGCGTCGCTTCGCCACATCCTCATGGTGAAACCCTAAAACCCTAAACCCTAAACCCTAAGTTCGACCAGATTTCAGATTTCATTCCTGGTTTGAGTGTGATCGTGGATTTTTGTTGGACATTAGTCCGGGGTGAGGGGGGGTATGGAGGTTAGGATTCTGATTCCAAGGGGGGGGGGGGGGGGGGGGGGGGGAGGTTCGTTGGCATCTTGCGCGCATGTGTCGCCTTTCGGATTCCACGGGCCGTACTGCTTATTGCAACATTTACCCCCCCCCCCTGTTCTCGCGCTTGCAGTTTTGTGGCTTTTGACAATCTCCCTCAGAATGTTGTTGCGATGCATCGATCTGCCTTCTTTAAGTTGTCTCAGCGCCATGATGAACTTGTTTGTTCATATTCGGCCCAGCTTTATACAGCGACGAAAAGCGCTATTCGAAAGGAGAAGATGGTACGTAGTTCAACAGTGACTGCTTCTCGATTTCCTCTGGGTACGGACACACTGGATCTGATCGAGATAGGAGCTACACGTTGCACATCACGTGCTGCCAGAGATGCAGCCTCATAAATAACAGCAACTTCTACACCCTAAACCCTAAACCCTAAACCCTAAACCCCAAACCCTAAACCCTGTCCAAGTATAACACACCAAGCCTACTGACTTTCATCTTGCATGTCTCAGATATCGCAAGGTTTCCCCGCGGCAGGTGGTACTGTGATGATGCTCAGATCGGCCTCCAAGCTGCCACCAACCCAGGAAACTCTTCGAATCATTTAGGGTTTAGGGTTTGTTGAGGGTTTAGGGTTTAGGGTTTAGGGTACAGGGCTCAGGGCGAAGAAGATGTCAATGCCTCTCAAAGGCCGGCAGCAAGGCCCCATAGGTCACCTTCTGCCATGAGAGACTGTAAGATTAGGGCTTAGGTTTTAGGGTTTGCATGGATACTCAATACTCATCGTCGATGCACCATAGCAATCTGTCGGCACATGCAACTTGTTGATGGCTCAGTTGTTCCGTCGGCCATGTTGACGCTTCGTGTTTAGTTCAGTTCCGCACCCAGCCCTAAGCCCTGGCGCCTTGATTCTTCAACCCTAGAAACCCTAATTAGAAGCCCTAGAAACTCTGGAAACCCTAGAAACCCTAGAAACCCGAGAAACCCTAAACCCTAGAAACCCTAGAAGCCCTAGACTCCCTAACCCTAAACCCTAAACCCTAAACCCCAAACCCCTGAATGCTCAGAAATGGTTTACGGTTTGGAGTGGAGAAGTCTGCAAAATCATTGTCAGGTTACGTCTCGGCCCAAGGTCTCCTCGAGCCTAAGTCCTTCCCTTTGTAAAGAAAACAGGGTTTAGGATTTAGGGTTTAGGGTTTAGGGTTTAGGGGTTCATTGGGCTTCAGGGTTCAGGGTCTGTTTACGGTTTAGGTTTAGGGTTAAGGGTGTAGGGTTCACAGGGTTGTAGGGTTGAGGGTTCGCAGGGTTTCAGGGTGCAATTAGGGCTCTAGGGTTTAGAGGTTTTAAGGTTTGTTTCTTTAGGGGTCTTAGGGTTAAGGGGTTGATAGCCCATTTGGCTCGTGCCCAACTTGTTTACGAGAATTATGGCTACTTGATGGCGGTTCCCATTTTGATGCTCCAAAAGTGCCTAAACCCTAAACCCTAAACCCTAAACCCCAAACCCCAAACCCTAAACCCTAAACCCTAAACCCTAAACCCTAACCCCTAAACCCTAAACCCTAAACCCTGAACCCTAAACCCTAAACCCTAAACCCTAAACCCAGCGGCAGCATCGGGCCGCACCAGTTGGAGATGAAGAGTCGCCAGCAGCCCTGCACCGGCCTCAAAAGAATTCGCTTGGGTTTGGGTTTGAGGGTCAACAGGGCCTTAAGTTGGGGTTTAGGGTTTAGGGTTTAGGGTTTAGGGGTTTAGGGGTTTAGGGGTTTAGGGTTTAGGGTTTTAGGGTTTAGGGTTTTAGGGTTTAGGGCTACCAAGGGTTTAGGGCTGGAGTTGAAGATCAAACGTTCTTCGGCCTTGATGGTGGATCGAGGGTGTGGGGGTGGGTGTAAGCCTTGAGTACATATCTAAGAGATATTCAACATACCCCTTGGGCATACCCTGAAAAGACATCAAAGGGTATGGTAGGTTCCTTCCGTATAATCTCCATGACGAGGTTAAAGGGTATGGGTTTGGGGTAATTATTCTGAGAACGTAGGGTTTTTAGGGTAGTTAGAGGGGGTTTTGGGAGGTTAGGGGGATTAGGGCTTTTGGGCTAAGGGCTTGGTTGGGGGTGGGGGGACTGGCAGAAGATTCTAGACGACAGCTTAACCTCTTGGAGTGTTTGAAGGGGTCGGAAACCCGGTCGACTAGAACAAACACCGGGGTTTAGGGTTTAGGGTTTAGGGTTTAGGGTTTCAGGGTTTCAGGGTTTAAGGGTTAGGCAGTTCAGGGTTTAGGGTTTCCGCTTCCGGGTCTGGGGTTAGGATGGTTTAGGGCTCAGCTTGAACACCGGAAACTATGGCGTGTGGGATCATCCTTAGTGACTCTTTGTGGGTTTAGGGTTTAGGGTTTAGGGTTTAGGGTTAGGGTTTAGGGTTTAGGGTTTAGGGTTTCGGGTTTCGGGTTTAGGGTGCAGTCCGCAAGTTCCCTAAGTCTGCCTCCCACTTGTCCGAAGATGCCAAGGACGCCAAGGCGGCATTGAAGCAAACCTTGCTCCCCACAGGTTTACGGTTTTAGGGATTTAGGGACTGTGGGTTGTAGGGTTTAGGGCAGTTGAGGGTTTATATGGGTCCCTGGAGCCAGGATTTTGGGGGCTTTCGGCCTGGGGGGCTGAGGGTGGGTGCGACTTGCTTCGGCCACCCGAAGGGATCGAGCAGGAACGCTGACTGAAAGCAAGGTGCGAGCGTTTAGGGTTTCGAGTTTAGGGCTTAGGGTGTAGGGCTTAGGGTTTCCGCAGAATACCCAGAGCACCGGGAGGATCCAAAACGTGGATCCCCATAAGGGTTCCTAAGAATCTATTTGCGGGCCTGCGTTTTGGATCCTCCCAGGGGTCTGGGAAACAGGGGCCCCAATCATGCAGCGGAGATCTGGGGGCCGAAATATTTGTGTGCGGGGCCAGGGCTTATAGGGCTATGGCCTACGGGTCCACAAAGGGCACCCTAAACCCTAAACCCTAAACCCTAAACCCTGAACCCTAAACCCTAAACCCTAAACCCTACCCCGTGCAGGCCTTCTGCTTGGGAGGCCTGCAAAAAGGAAGCATGATTTCTTGCGGCTCTTCCCAGCACCCAGTAAGCTTTCTAGCAAAAACAAGGGGTCCCGTTTTTAGGCTCAAGGTTTAGGGTTTAGGGTTTAGGGTTTTTAGTATTGGCCAGAACGGGCCCACTTTGGCGCCAACTCCAAAATGAACCCTAAAGCGCAGTGGCATCCTCCATGCAATTCCAGGGAGGTTCATGGTACGTATTAACCAATTATAGCTGTACTTATAACATAAAACTGTCCTTATGACCATACTTGGACACGCTAATAAGTGGGTGTTTAAGTACCATGAACCTGGACGAAGGGAAGATTCCTTAGTTCAAGAAAGCGTTGGTAGTCCGGGGCCCTTTTCTCCTTAAACCCTCCGGATCATGTTCCTGAATGGGATCCTTTTATTAAACACCTAACTAAGGGATAATTTGACAGAGCCCTTGCCACCCCTGCCTGGGAGGATCCAAAAAAATCGAGCCCCCAAAATAGTACCCTAAACCCTAAACCCTAAACCCTATACCCTAAAACCTAAACCCAAAACCCAAAACCCTATACCCCACACTACTATTGGGTCATTTTTGGGCACCCTAAAGGAGATCTGAACCCTGGACCCTAGACCCTAAACCCTAAACTACTTTTTTGGATCTTTAGGGTTTAGGGTTTAGGGTTTAGGTTTTAGGGTTTAGGGTTTATCCTTCCAGGCGTCTGGGTATAAGGGCCTAGCTCGCTGAAGATCTGCCAAAGAACGTCGTTGGCAAAGAGGCGGCTTGTCACCTGGGTTGAGCTCTTCTCTGAAGGGGGTCAACTTTTATGGGGTTTGGGGTTTAGGGTTTAGGGTTTAGGGTTTAGGGTTTAGGGTTCAGGGTTCAGGGTTCAGGGGGGAATTTGCGAAGGGTTGATGTGTAGCAGGGCCTAGGGTTGGGCTTTGGGGTCTGCAGGGGCCTTCGGGTCTTAGGGCTCAGGCTTTAAAGGATCTAATTGCAGCTCCGCAAAGACACTCTGCTGACTGCCGTCCGGTCTACACCAACCGTCGACAATAGCCCGAGAGCCTGATCCCACAGGCGCACCTGCTTGCCTTGGTGACCCATATTGCAACAAGGGCACCCTTTTTTGGGTCAGCTACTTTAGAAGGGAACCCAGCCCCTAAACCCTAAACCCTAAACCCTAAACCCTAAACCCTAAACCCTAAACCCTAAACCCTAAACCCTAAAACCCTAAAACCCTAAACCCTAAACCCTAAAACCCTAAACTCCAAAAAAAAGTAAAGTGTACTCACTCAGCTACTAAGTTGCATGCAGCCAAGGCAGTTCCTTTGCACACCAGGTCCGGCTGAACCCCGTCCACGTGCATCCGCTCGAACAGGCCCATGGAAGCTCGCCACTCCTAGGTGGTTGTATAGGGTTTAGGGTTTAGGGTTTAGGGTTTAGGGTTTAGGGTTTAGGGTTTAGGGTTTAGGGTTTAGGGTTTAGGGTGTAGGTCTCACGGGCTTCGGAATGTCAGGTTTCGGGTTCAAGGGTTTCGGAGCAGAAACCCGACCGACAATTTTCAGCTTCTCTCATGCCGAGGCCAGGGCTCTAAGCCCTTCAGGCAAGCGCTCATGGCATTCGCAAAGCAGATTTCATCTCCCTGCACGCCTCGCTCCCGCATGCGCATGAGGAAGTAAGAGGCCACTTGCCAGCGTCCCGCATTGCGGCAGCTGCTGATGGCCCTGTCCCAGAAGTCGATTTGCAGCCCGGATCCTTGTTTGCAAACGTGGCTATCATCTCGCTGCATGTTTCAAGGGACGTTGCTGTCAGGGTTTAGGGTTCAGGGTGTTCTTAAGTCCTGAACTGCCGAACACACACCCTGACACGTCCACCGCTCGGAAGTCCAAACTCCGAAACGCGTTCAGGGAGGGGCCCACTTACTACACTAAGTATAGTTAACGGACTTATAACCTGAGTTAGGATCCTTTATAACCCAATTTAGGATCCTTAGAACTCTACTTATAACTAGGGGGGCCCCTGCTTGTAGCCCTAAACCCTAAACCCTAAACCATAGGCCGCCCGCGCCAGGCGGCGGCCGGTACAACTGAACGCTACCGCTTCGAGATCTGCTTGCTTTGCCAAGCAGATCGAGCTTGCCACACCTGATGCATCCCTGCTAGCCATAGGGCACAATGTAATAATGGATTAACCCTAAACCCCCGACGTGCGACCCCGGCGGGGGCCTAAGAAGCTGTTGCGCCCCCGCCAGGGTTGCCCCCGCCAGGGTTGCCCCCGCCAGGGTTGCCCGGTTGCCCCCGCCAGGGTTGCCCCCACCCCGCCAGGGTTGCCAGGGTTGCCCGCCAGGGTTGCCCCCGCGCCAGGGTTGCCCCCACTAGGGTTGCCCCCGCGAGGGTGCCTTCCTGCCAGGGTTGCCTGCCAGGGTTGCCCCCGCCAGGGTTGTCCCTGCCAGGGTTGCCCCCGCCAGGGTTGCCCCCGCCAGGGTTGCCCCGCCAGGGTTCCAGGGTTGGATCCGTCAGGGTTGCCCCCCAGATTTGCCCCAGTGGCCCCCGCCAGGGTTGCCCCCACCAGGCTTGCCCCGCCAGGGTTGCCCCCGCCAGGGTTGCCCCCGCAGGGTTGCCCCCGCCAGGGTAGAGTTGGCCGCCCCCGCCAGGGTTGCCCCCGCCAGGGTTGCCCTGCCAGGGTTGCCCCTGCCGGGTTGCCGCACCAGCGTTGCCGCTGCAGGGTTGTCGCCGCCAAATTTGTGGCCCCTGCCAGGGTTGTCCGCCAGGGCTACCCCCGCCAGGGTTGCCTCCGCCAGGATTGCCCTGCCAGGCTTACCCTCCCAAAAATAACCCTAAAAACTAAGTGGTTCTTAACTCCCATGAACCTCAACCACCGCCATGCTGACAGGGTTGCCTGCCAGGGTTGCCATTGTTACAGTGACAGGGTTGCCCCCGCCAGCCCGCCAGCCTTGGTGGGTGACAAGGGACAACCCACCCGGTTGGCCCCTGACAGGGTTGGTTGGCCTCACCAGGGTTGAGGGTTGCCCCACCAGGGTTGCCCCTGCCAGGGTTGCCCCTGCCAGGGTTGCCCCACCAGCGTTGCCGCCGCAGGGTTGCAGACGCCAAATTTGCCGGGTGACAGGGTTGCCCCTGCCAGGTTGCCCGCCAGGGTTACCCCCGCCAGGGTTGCACCCGCCAGGGTTGCCCTGCCAGGGTTACCCCACCAAAAAAAAACCCTAAAAACTAAGTGGTTCTTAAGTCTCATGAACCTCAACCACCGCCATGCTGACAGGGTTGCCCCTACCAGGGTTGCCAGTGTTACAGTGAGAGGGTTGCCCCCGCCAGGGTTGCCCCCGCCAGATTTGCCCCCGCCAGGGTTGCCCCAAAGTTGTTTTCATCAAAGTTGCCCCTGACTCAGAACCCCCCCCCAGGGTTGCCCCACCACTTGAAGGTTCACGCTACTTACGAACCACTAGATAACTGTACTTATAACCCTACTTATAATACATCTAAAGCGGCCTTTTGGGGGTTATTCCAACTATAAGTAAGGGTTATAAGCCCAGTAAAAGTGGTTCTTAAGTCCATCAACCTCCAAGCAGGGTTGCCCCCGCCCGAGCTGCCCCCGCCAGAGTGCCCTGTTGCCCCCGCCAGGGTTGCCCCCGCCAGGGTTGCCCCCGCCAGGGTTGCCCCCCCAGCCATGGCTTAGCTATGTGCTTGAGATTGTCTTAAACGGGTGAATTTTGATTGTCCCGATCCTGGAAAGTGTAGGCTCAAGCAACAGCAGCAGTCATACCTCCCATCCCGGCCATCGGGGAGAGTCGAGGTGAAAGCCCCCTTGGTAGGGGGACCGTGGGGGTTAGACCGCTCTAAACCCGAAAAAGGCGGTAGTTTGGGTGGTTGGGGTGGGATCCGCTGCACCGAGGCGGCCCGACCCGCCACCACTCCCTGGCGGGTCGGGACCGCGGCACTTCGGAACACCCTAAACCCTAAACCCTAAACCCTAAACCCTAAAAAAGACACCTCCCATGGTGTCCAGGGCATCTTCCACAAGCTCCAGGGCGACTTCCCACGACTGGGCCAAGTACGAGGCCAGGGCCACCTCACTCTTCCAGAGGGTTTAGGGTTTAGGGTTTAGGGTTTAGGGTTCAGGGTTTAGGCTTGGTTTAGAGCGAGCCAGGCGTTTGTCTTTTTTTGGTGGGGGGGGGGGGGGGGTTTGTGGCATGGGAAGCCACGGACACCGCGCAAGGACGCAGAAGGGGGGCTTTGTTGTTTTGCGATTTTTTCTCAGTTCTAGGCCCAAGGGCCCTCAACCACCGAATCCTCAGAAGCCCAATGCCGCCTTAAGAGGCAATACTGACACCCAGGAAACAGTAAGGGAACCTTGAACCAAAAAAAGGGAAAAGGGTACCACTGGGCTACCAAGAATATGAACTCTTCTGACGAGTAACTATACCAAAAGAGTAACCCAGCAGAAAAAAAAAACATAGGGCACCTTCTTTGGTTTCATGACAAAAAAGGGAAGGGCCTGCTCTGGGCCCTAGCAACCCTAAACCCTAAACCCTAGACCCTAAACCCTAAACCCTAAACCCTAAACCCTGAACCCTAAACCCTACGTTGGGTCCTAGATAAAGCTTCGAGGATCGGCGCGGTAGTGCGTGGTGTCGAGGCGGATGTCTTGAAGCCTCACCCCAGACCCCTACAAGGATCCAACAAAAGTAGAACCTCCCAATAGGGTTCAGAGTTAGGGTTTAGGGTTTAGGGTTTAGGGTTTAGGGTTTCGGGTCTAGGGTTTAGGGTTTACGGTTTAGGGTTTAGGGTTTAGGGTTTAGGGTTTATCTGGAATCATTTGCAGGAACTTTCAGGGGGCATCTACTTGTTGGATCCTCCCAGTGGTCTGGGCATCTTCAGGTCCCGTCTCGGCCCTCTTTCTGGATATGCAGGAGGACCAAAAAAAAGCGAATCGGTTTAGGGTTTAGGGTTTAGGGTTTAGGGTTTAGGGTTTAGGGGTTTAGGGTTTAGGGTTTAGGGTTGAGGGCTGAGGGTTGAGGGTTAAGGGTTTAGGGTTTAGGGTTTAGGGCTTAGGCTTAGGGTTGAGGGTCTAGGGTTTAGGGTACTTGCAGGAGCCCTGAGGGTCCATGTGCCTCGATGCCCAGCCCCCTGCAAGGATCCAAAAAGTGGATGCCCTAAACCCTCTAGACCCTCTAGACCCTCTAGACCCTCTAGACCCTCTAGACCCTCTAGACCCTCTAGACCCTCTAAACCCTCTAAACCCTCTAAACCCTCTCAACCCTCTCAACCCTCTAAACCCTCTAAACCCTCTAAACTCTGAACCCTAAACCCTGAGGGCCCATGTACCTAGATACAGAATACTTGGGCCTGAAAGTACCTCCTATTCTAATAATTGCTTAAGAACCCCGAAAAAATCCAAAAAGATATTATTCCTTATTAAGGGTAATATAGGGAGTATTATTCTTATTCTTTTGGGGTTCTTAAGCAAATAGTAGTATTTAGGGACTTTAGGGCCCAAGTACACAACCATGAGGTACATGGAACCTTAGGGGAGGACCAAAGAGGCGAGGTGGAGGTTTCCGAAATTCGGGGTACCTTGTTGAGATCCTCCCTGAAGCTCCAGGAGGCTGCCATATGCTTAACGAAAACAAGAGCCCCCCAATATACAACCGGGTTTAGGGTTTAGGGTTTAGGGTTTAGGGTTTAGGGTTTTAGGGTTTAAGGCAACCGGGTTCTTGAACATCAAGAACTCCACCCGCGCCTCCTCCCCCCGCCCTTCCCCCGCCCCTGGGCGTCCCGCTACCTTTCGAAGTCCACAAAGCAGCAAGCCTTCAACCCTGAACTCTGACGGCATAGGGTAGCACCATCATCCCAGTCCCTAAGGGTCAATGTACCTGTATAGTATATACTTGGGCACTAAAGCTACTATATGGGAAACCCTTTAAGGCCCCAAGTATGTACTACATGGGTACCATGCCCTAAACCCTAAACCCTAAACCCTAAGCCCCAAACCCTAAACCCCAAACCCTAAACCCTAAACCCTGTACATGGACCCTTAGAGAGTGAGACTGTGGCCTCAACGTTCGCAGAAAGGCGATCGCGCCGGTCGCTTGGGACCCCCTGGCAAGGCCCATGAGGGCCTGGGCCGAAGACTCCGCACCTCAGACGCAGAGTGCAGGGTTATGGGCTCAGGGTCCATTTAGGGTTTAGGGTTTAGGGTTTAGGGTTTAGGGTTTAGGGTTTAGGGTTTAGGGTTTAGGGTTTAGGGTTTAGGGTTTAGGGTTTAGGGTGTAGGGTGTAGGGTGTAGGGTGTAGGGTTTTGGGTCATTGCGCCAGAGTAATTATTTATATAGGGGCCTGAACAGTTAAAACAGGGTTCTGGAGTTCTGGGGGTATTACATTACACACGGACCATACGGGAATGTGATTAGTAATTTTTCCGACCGCTATATTGGTAGGATATGGGGTGAATAGGGTTTGTGTCAATGCCAGTCAACCGGCATGCATTCATGAAGCGAAATTCTTCGCTGCAATCCCTTTTCTCTTAAACCCCTTAGGGGCCCCTTGAGCCGCCGTAGCTCGACATGGAGAATGTGCGATAAACGTTGTGAACTGCAGACCTTGTGCGCTGACAGTTGGCAGCAGCGACTTTGCTGTTGAGATTGGTAGCGGGGCCTGTAAGGCTCAGAGCTACGCGAAGAGATGGGCGGCACTGGAGGTGGAAAAGGCAAAGGGAATGGATCTTCAATCCCAGCCGAACCACCTGCAGCAGAGCAAGATGGCGGAGAACACCCTGCCCACCATGGAGAAGCAAGTGGCCAGCAGTCCTTTGGCTTCCAGCGCGGACTGGACAGTGGACTGGCAAAGGCAGCGCCAACGGCCGAGGGCTTGAATGCCAAGACATACCGTGCCTACAGGCGCAGGCTTCTTCTTTTCGCCAAACAATGTGGGCGGCGAGGTCAATCCGTCAGCGTGGAAGGTGCTTTTCTTGCAATCTCCCTCTTGCAGGACACCGCCTGGGACGCCACCGAGCAGCTGAACTTGGACGAAGTTGAGGCAGCTTCGGACCCCTTCAAGCCGATCTTCACTCTTTTGGACAGGTTGTACCAGCACGAGGAAGACGTGGAGCTGCCGGCCCGCTGTGAAGAGTTCTTTCAGGAGTTCGGCCGCTTGAAGAACGAGGAGATGCAGGCCTATCTCTTGAGGCATGCCACCCTGAACAAGAAACTGCGCGAAGTTGGAATTGCCCTCCCCGATCTGCTGGCTGGTTGGCATCTGCTGACGCGAGCCGGTGTGCCCAAGTGGACGCACCTTCAGGTGAAAGCCTTGTGTGGAGGCACCCTCGAGTACCAAAAGGTGGCGCAAGCCTTGCTGAAAGTTTTTGGCGGAGACCATCGGCCGAACGTGAAGGACTTGTTTCGGTCTGCTGGCGACACCGCGCAAGCCTACGCCAACGAGACCTTCGACGACGTCTACCTGCACGAGGACTTGGACGAAGGTTGGGGCGACTACGGCTACTACGACGTCCCGTACGAGGACGAGATCTACTGGGAGGATGACGTGGAGGCCAATGGCGAAGGCGACTTGTACCACGAGGACGATGCCAACGGCGACGACTTGGAGATCGCCGCGGAAGCCGTCGAGGAGGCCTACATGAACTACGCCGACAGCCGAAGGAGAATGCGGGACATTGCTTTGTCAAGAGGATTCTTCCCAGTGGTGGCCATGCCCCCCGCTGACTGGTCCCCGACAGCCAGAACTTCGGAGAAAGGAAAGTCGAAAGGAAAAGGGCGTGGCAAAAGCAAGGGCAAGGCAAAAGGAAAGGGCAAGAGTGGCGACAAAGGCTTCCGACACTTTGCTTTCTCTCGCAGGCCCACCTCGGGCCTCCGCAGGGATGCCGCAGCGAACCTGGCACGGCCTTCCACCGACTCATCGAGGTCGACTGGGTCTGGGTCCACAGCGGGGCACGGACCGAGGTTCAAACGCTATCGCCTGCAAGACGCCACCAAGCCCGTGGAGGAGGCCAACGTGGTCGAAGAGATGTATGCCAACAACCAAGGCCGCCAGACCGTGACGGAGGAGAATGTCGAGGTGCACCAGGCGGAGAACGTGTTCTTCAGCGAGACCGGTCCCGGCTATGCCATCCTGGACAGTGGCGCGACGAAGTCGGTGATAGGCGAGCTGACGTGGCAGAAATGGCTTGAGCTCTTCGCACGCTGCGGAGTGGAAGCCACAGCCAAGAAGTCTGTGAGAGATTTCCGGTTCGGAGATGGTTCGACTGTTCGGTCAAGCATCGAGGTCACCTTTCCTGCAATGGTCTTCGGAAGAGGGACAAAGGTGACAGCCAGCCTCATCCCCGGGAACACACCCCTTCTATTGGCGAGGCCAGTCCTTGAGGAATGGCAGATGGTGCAGGACTTTGCCACCGGAAAGATCCGCTTGTTCGGTGACGAGACATGGCATTCACCAGGGCGTACCTCAAATGGACACTTCATACAGCTCGTAAAGGAGATCCAGGACGACAAGATGCACGACGTGCTGGCCACAGCGTACGTGGAGACCCCTCTGGAATCTCAAGAAGGAGCCTCTTCTTCTGAGATGTCGGAGAGGAGCAGGCTTGAGGACACAAGTGGAATCCAGGCCGCAATCCTGATGGCGGAGGAGGTGGTCTACTTTGGCCAGGGCGACAAGAAGAAGATCTTCTGGGAGTTGTTCGTTGACCAGGGCTGTCTGAGTCATGCCGTGGCGCAGTATCCTGGCATGGAATGCTCAACGTTCTCCTCGCCGGAATGGGACTTCGAGCAGATCGGCGTGCAGAAAGCGTTCCTGGAGCTGATGTGTAAGGTCATGCCATCGCATGTTTGGCTCGCCCCCTCGAGCTGCGTGTGGAACCCTATGCAGAACATGAACGCGCGCACCGAAGCCCAGGCCAGGAACATCATGCTGGAAAGGAAGCGGCTGATGCGAACCCAAACGAGTTTCGCAGCACAGGTGTTCCAGACCGCCCTGGAGCTGAGCATCTTCGTCACCATTGAGCATCCTGATGGGTCAGCCATGTGGAGCACAGCACCTATGAGGGCATTGACTGGCTATTTCGATGCTGTGGTGGACAGATGTCGAACGGGGCTGGTGGCAAGGAACCAGGCCGGCGTCGCAATTGGGCCAGTGAAGAAGTCAACCAGGTTGCGAACCACTTCGGCGAGAATGGCTGAGACCATGGATCTTCGATGTCAGTGCGAGGGTTCACACTTACAGACGATGGGTCGAGGGCAAGAGCTTCGCAGCATGCAGAACTACGAGCGAGGCTTCGTTCGACTAGCTGCGGACGCCGTCGTTCAAGACTCAGAGGTGCTTTGGGCACAGCGACAGGCGGCGATGATCTTCATGACGGACGACCTCCCTTACATGATCCCGGATCAGGAGCACAGCACGGAGTCTATGAACAAGAACCTGGTGCGCAAGCTTGGACGCAGCTCGGTGCTGACGGTTGCCAAGCTGCACAAACAACTTGGACATCCTGGACGTGAACGACTGGTGCAGGCCGCTCGGGATTCGGGTTTAGATGCACAAACCCTCCAGGCGGCACGAGAGTACAGATGTGCCACTTGTGAAGTACAGAACACCAGCAAGCTCGCACGCCCCGGCACGCTGAACAATGTTACCTGCTTCAACCAAGTGGTTTTGCTGGACGCTTTCTTCATCAAGTGGAATGACAAAAAGCACTCCATCCTGGCGATCATGGACTCTTTCAGTCGCTATGAGCAGATGACACGCCTGGAAGATGACCGACCGGAGACAGAAATCAAATTGATAGAGAGCGCCTGGCTGCGATGGGCTGGGCCACCTGCCGTCATCAAGACCGATGCTTCTGGGTCCCACATGAGTGAGACGTTTGTTTCCTGGACAGACAGCCGAGGAATCAAGCTGATCATCATCCCTAAAGAGGCCCACTACCGTCTGGGAGCTATGGAGCGTGCGCATGCCGTGCGCCGAGCACAGCTCATGAAGATGAAAGCCGAGGACCCCGCGATGGAGCTGGACATGGCGCTGCACCATGCGGCCGAGCAGCGCAATAGGCTGCGCACCGTGCATGGCACCTCTCCAGCCACCATCGTCTTTGGCATCCTGCCAGCGCAGCACAGCATTGACGACGAGCCCTTCAACCCGGCGGCTGGCGACGAGGAAGCGCAGGCGAGGGTCGTGAAGGCCCGCACGCTGGCAGCTACTGCCTTTCATCAAGCAAACAATGATCGGGTGCTACGTGCAGCTGTGTTGGCTCGCGGGGCACCTCCACTGCCGCAGGTCGACGTGGGCCAGTTCTGCTACTACTACCGTCAGGACAACAAGCTCGCACCTGAAGGCCGTTGGCGAGGTCCGGCACTCGTGTGCGCCATTGAGGAGCCAAGCTCGCCGTCGCCTCCCGCCGCCCGCCCCGGATCTCTGGTGTACTGGCTGGCGCACGGGAGCTCTTTGGTGCGCTGCGCCCCGGAGCAAGTGCGTGTGGAGTTGCCTTTGGAGCGCGCAAGGCGCTTGCTGGAGTCGCCGGAGACGGAGGCCACCGTCCCGTGCATGCGTCGCGTGCGCGCAGCTCTTCGGCCTGTACGTGGTCCTGTTCGTTATCTTGACCTCACCGCCCGTGCGGCGCCCGCTATCGCCGGCGCAGCGGCGCAAGAGGACGAGCCAGAGGACTACCAGGACACACCGGATGCACCGATGCAGCAGACGGAGGACCAAGACAGCCAAAGGAACCACGTGCGCGAGATCCCGAACGACAAGCTCGAGATCCTGAACGACAAGGGCGATATCCCGACCGACAAGGGCGAGGCGCAGAGCATCGAGACCGACGCGAGCCAAGAGCAAGATCCAAGGAAAAAGCCAGCAAACGAGCAAAAGACACCAATGGGCCACTCCGACGTCATCGTGCCACAGGCTGCGCAATCTTCTTCCTCAACACGCAGGGAAAGATCACGCAGCCCTCCGCGAGCAAAGACAAGCAAGTACACGGAGGAGCAGCTTCAAGAGGGCATCGACCGGGCGAGGCGCATGGATGGACTTCCCCCTGCACGTCGTGAGAGCAGAGTTCCAGAAGCGGACGAGGATGTCACCATGGACATGGCCTTCGAGGATGAGATCTTGATGGTCGCCAGCGAGCTTAATGAACGGAACATGACGGACCAGGAGAAGAAGGACTTCGACGTGGCCAAGGACGAGGCGTTGATTCCGTGGATCCACAACGCAGCTTGGGAGCCCGTGGACGCTAAGGAGGCTCGTGAAGGAGAAGCAGTACCTGTTCGCTTCTTGCTCAAGTACAAGGAGAAAGATGGAAAGAAGAAGGCAAACGCGAGGCTCATCCTTCAGGGCTTCCGGCACGTGGATGTGACCAGCAAGAAGTTGGAAACAGAATCGCCGACATTGTCCAAGGGATCCCGAAGCCTCATCATGCTGCTGTGCTGCCAGATGGGGTGGAAAATCTTCAGTGCCGATGTGAAGTCAGCCTTCTTGCAATCTGACGACATAGATCAAGAGATCAGGCTGTTCGCCGTTCCCAACCGTGACATTCGGAAGAGGCTCGCGCGCTTGATGGACCTGAAGGACTTCCAGATTCTCCGAATCTTGAAGCCAGCTTTTGGAGATGTGAGAGCTCCCAGGCAGTGGTACACCACCGCAGATCGCGTAAACAGGGAGGAACTCACCTTTGCGAGGCACAAGCTCGACCGATGCGTGTACCTCAGCTGCAGGCAAGCCCAAGAGGGTGACGATCCCTTCCGCGTCTTCAACAAAGAGGGTGTTGCGATGGTCATGGACGGCGTTCTCGGCGTCCACGTGGACGACGTAGTCGGCGGAGGCGAACATGTGAATGCGAAAGAAGATGCGCAGGACGAGGGCCCTGAGGAAGCATTGTGCTTCCGTGATCGGGTCCAGCGTTTGCTGCGCCGATTCAAGTTCGGTTCCATCGACTTCTCCTACGACCAGGTCTTCTGTGGCGTGAACATGCAGCAAAGCTTCGGCCATGACGCGGTGAAGATGAATCTCAAGAAGTACGTCCACCACATTAAGCCCATCGCAGTGGAGAAAGCCAGAAAGCAGATGGTGGGTGACGTCCTGGACGAGCGCGAGGTGGCCAAGCTGAGGTCCTTGCTTGGAGCGCTGGCGTGGCCAGCCACCCAGTGTATCCCTATGTTGTCGGCGTCGGTGTCTTTGATGCAGTCCGCGATGTCGGCCCCTACGGTGAACGACTTACTGGAGGCCAACAAGACCCTGAGGTTCGCGAAGGAGACGGTAGAGCGCTATGAGTGGAGCGTTCATCGACATGGCGATTTGAGTCGCCTGTGCTTTGCAGCGTACACAGACGCAGCGTGGGCTGTGCGACCGGATGGGTCCAGCCAAGGCGGCTACGTCATTTTTGCGGCGAGCCTGGACGAAGTCAACTCTGGCAAGCCCTTCCGCCTCACTACGTTGGAGTGGGGATCGAAGAAGCTGGCCAGGGTGTGCAGGTCGAGCCTGGCAGCAGAGACGCAAGCCGCAGCAACTTGCGTGGACGAACTGGAGTGGTTGAAGACGTGTTGGCACTTGATGCTATGGCCCAATGCGGAGCCCCTGGACGACGACATGGCGAAGATCACCCCAAGCTTCGTGGTCACCGACGCGAAGTCCCTGTACGATGCCGCGAACAGTATGTCCGCAGGGCTGAAGCTTTCGGAACGTCGGAGCGCCATCGAGCTGGCTGGGACCAACGAAAGGCTGAAGGCGATCGGAGGCCACTGGCGTTGGTGCAACTCGAGTCAGCAGCTGGCGGATGGCTTGACGAAGGCGGCAGCGAGAGCGGCATGCCTGGAAGCTTTCGCCCGTGGCGTTGTGAATATGCGATTCGACGAGGCGATGACCGCTGCCAAGAAGGTCACCAAGCAGGCCCGCCAGGCGGAGCTCAAGGAGCTGGACCAGGCGGCGCTGGAGCTGAACGACGTGAATGTGAATGTGCTCGAGGCCGCTCTGCCTCGATGTCGTCTGTTCGGATGCGAGCGTGTCGTCAACGACGCTGACACCACCGGGCATCGCTACTGTTCAAGAAGGCACTACTACAGGGCCATGAGCGGTGGAGATGGAGAACGAACCAGAGCCTTAATTGCCGCAGCAACGTTGGCGACTCAAGTTTCGACAGCCGAGGGCTACGTGGTGCTGAGCCGTGAGGACGAGCACATCTACATGATCGCCGACATCCGTGTTGTGAGCTACGTCATTGTGGCTTTGGTGGTTGTTTTCGTGTCGTGGTGGTTTAATGGAAGTACAACTTCGCCAAGATCGCAGGAAGCCAGTACCACGACTGCTACGACGTCAAGCTCAACTACCTCAACGAGTTCTACGCCGTCTACTCCAACAAGCCCGACGAAGCGAAGTGAACAAGGCGTGCAAGCTGAGGACCTGCGTAACCCGGAGGCGGAGCGACTGCGAGAAGAACTCACTCAACGCAATGGCCAAGCTATGCGTGACGAAGCCGAGCGAGTTTACTTCCTCCAGCACATCGACGAGCTGAACGAGCGCATCAATGATCTACAGTGGCAGTTGCAACAGGCAAGAGCCATGGAGATCCCTATGCCATCATCGCGACCTCGTGCCCCGGACAGAATCTACATGACACCCTCGGGCAGGCGTTATCATCTCCGTGATGAGTGTGGGCATGTTCGTGGACACAACGGCGTCAAGGTCTTCACCCTTTGCGGCGACTGCAGTCGTTAAATCGAATGCATCGACGTGACAAGACGATGGCCGCAGCGCTGTCCATTACTGAGCTCGTTCGACGATGTGAAGGGCGACTCAAGGGCGACCGCTTTCTTTCATTTTAAGTTATGGTTTTCCTTCCGTGTCAATGCCAGTCAACCGGCATGCATTCATGAAGCGAAATTCTTCGCTGCAATCCCTTTTCTCTTAAACCCCTTAGGGGCCCCTTGAGCCGCCGTAGCTCGACATGGAGAATGTGCGATAAACGTTGTGAACTGCAGACCTTGTGCGCTGACAGTTGGCAGCAGCGACTTTGCTGTTGAGAGTTTGCCCTGAACCCTAAGCCCCAAGCGGCGAAACATGCTAGAACTATGAAGGGTTCTACCTGCTAGAATGATGTACCAGGATGCCTCCAAATCACCCATAGCCAGCCCGGTAATGGCCTCCTCTAGGGAACTTCGGGTATTGAAGCCAATGTTGGGATAACCCCGATTAAGAACTGTTAAAGTGTAGGGGGATCATCCAAAAGCCAATGGATGATTTCGACGAGCGTATGCGATTCACGGCATCTAACCCCAGCTGATGCAATGGCAAGATGCAACCGGCTTGCACCAAAATCTCCAGCACTCCAACCCTTAAATCCGAAGCCCTTGACCCTAAACCCTAAATCCGGTATCCTAAACATGAGGTTCTTGGGCTATTTTGAACCTAGAAGTAAAACTTCCCCAACCTAAATCATCCCAAACCCCATGACCATGAGCGGCTCAGCGGCTATGGCATTTTCTGACAGCTGGCTCAACATTTCTCCAGTCCTCACAGCTCGGAACGCAAGAAAGAATAGGGTTAACTGGGACCCTCTTTGCCACAGTTTTATGGGCTATACCTACTGATTAAGGGTAGTTCCTACTAAACTGTAGGTAAGAAGTCCCATGTACGGGTTAACGTTCAGGGTTCCGCGTTTAGTGATCAAGGTTTTGCCTTCATAAGATCCGCTGTTGTGCGAAAAGGTGCGCGTAAAACATCCGTTCTTCGTCGCGTTTTGTGTAGGGCCGTCCAAGCAGCATGCTGTAATGTTCATCCTGATAGCGGAAGCACTTTCCACTCCAACGGAACTTGGGTATTGTCAACGGTGCTTGCTTCTTTCTTCGTGGTAATTCGCAATATGCACAATATGCACACAACTTTATTGTCGGACCCGGCTGGATATGTGCTTGTGGCAGTGCAGCTGCAACGAGAACTAGCTCACCTTCTTCCGCACATAAAGAGTAGCATGGCTGTAACACGTGCCTAAAACATCAGACACTAAACCCTAAACCCTAAACCCTACACCCTAAATTAGGGCGCTTTGGGGTTCTTTCGTTTCAGGTCGTCAGAGTCCTAGTCAGGAAAGCCGGGACACAGTGATGGCAAAATCACTGCCGCTTTCTTACCCTAACAAACCACGCGCAGCTGAGAAGCCTAGAAGGCATGTATGCTGAGGTACAACTTTGTGCCGGTTTCTTGACATGCTTGCGAAAGCAGCAGAAAAACAAGAAAATGAAAATTTGAATCCCTGAAGCGCCGCTACTGCGCCGAAAAAGACGGACCAAGTAGGAACCGAATCTGCACTTAGGCCCAACAAGTCCTGCAGTAGGTGCTACGCAAGGCAACATAACACGCGCGACACTGCCAGGTATGACTTGGATTGGATCTTGGGCACCTGAGTCCAAGCCAAAGCTGGCATGTCGCGCCGGCCGCCATGGCACCAATCTCCGAAACCTGACGGAACGAACGGAACTGCAGTGCTTACCCTAAGGCTCCAAGGACTCTTGTTTTAAGGTTTTGCGGGTCAAAGGCTTTATTTTATAGAAGGCTTTCGGGCTATTTTGACCCCAAGGGCTACAGTTGGGCGTCACGATGCCGGGGGACTGGTCAAGTTGATAGGTGGGAACTTGCAATAGTTTAATCGGGCTGGTTCTTAGTAGGAAATGAGGGAATGAGGTACCCTAAAGGGCAGAAGGGCCCGAGTGCCCTCATTCCCTACTAAGAACCAGGGGGTGCTTTCAATGCAGTTGCATGCTCTCGAAGCATGGTTGAGGACGGTCATTCAACAGGAAAACGTGCAGCATTATGTGGCAGGTCTCGCATCTGAGGCTTGCATAAGTCTGTCATATCTCCTCCATCGAAAGTTGCCTGCCAAGTTTCGGAGCACCCGATGAATATGCCTACATAGAATCATGGTATAAACATAGCAAATATGCGCGTCGTGTTGGAAGTAGCCTACAGCGCAACCACCTGTCAGCAAACGACTTCTGCCCAAAATCCATTTGCACTCAATCAGACATCAAGGTGGTGGCAGCCCATGCACGTCTGGCAGCTCCTGCAGGAACGGAGAAATGACACGTGACCTTTAATCAATAGATTGCGTCCAGGTTATTAACATCGTGCTGCCTTCTACATGCAACATCACGGTCTCCTAAATCTTGAACCCTAAATTCTGAGAACCTGAAAACTCATCCTATGTCGCCGAACAAAAGCCTGGCTGTCTACGCGGCAGCATTCTGCCCACATGTAGAGAGCCTCCGATCGCTTGCGACAGGGTTTCGGGATTGATGAGGATCCTTAAGGAACCTTAAGGAACCTTAAGGAACCTTAAGGAACCCTAAACCTTAAACCCTAAACCCTAAACCCTAAACCCTAAACCCTAAACCCTAAACCCTAAACCCTAAACCCTGACCCTAGAACCCTGCTAAGAACCCTGGCCTCCTAAGAACCCTCCTAAAAACCCTCCTAAGAACCCACAAACCTATCCTCCCCTCAGAACCTTAATAAAAAAATAGTTTTTTAATATCCTCTTGGGTTTTATATAAACAAAAATATAAGACAAAAACTCCCAAGGGGATATGGAAAAACCCTAAGCCCTCAACCCCGCATCATCCCTAAATACCCTGAAAAGCCTTAAGATGGTTCTTCCGGTGCCCTCCTGGCTTCGGACATGTGGGATGGGAAGCTCCAGGCCTTTGCGGAACACCTTACAAGCCCTAAACCCCAGACCCTAAACTTTAGCCCTAAACCCTAAACCCGAAACCCTAAACCCCAAACCCCAAACCCTAAACCCCAAGCCCTGAACCCTAAACCCTAAACCCTGAACCCTGAACCCTAAACCCTAAACCCTAAACCCTAAACCCTAAGGTTTAGGGCCACGCCTCCTTGTGGAGCACCCAACCCCTTTTGGCTTCTAGGATCCAAGAACCATTTTTTCAGGATGGCCAAAAGGAAGGGTAGAAGGAACGCCGTAAACCCCAAACCCCAAACCCCAAACCCCAAACCCTAAACCCTACACCCTACACCCTAATCTCAAGTGAGGAGCCCTGCACTACAGGGTTGATATAAGGGCCGTTTTGGGGCGACGTCGGTGTGCCTCAGCTAGGGTTCGGGCTTTAGGGTTTAGGCTTAGGCTTAAAAGCCCACAACTGAGTGCAAACGCAACAAGCACCGCCGATCACTAAGCTGGCAATTCTTCACTCTCGGGTTCGGGAGCTATGGATCTAAAATTTTAAAACTAAACCCTGAACCCTAAACTTCAAACCCTAAACCCTGACTCTAGGAGGGACTGGAGCATGGAGCACTCTGCTTAATTATGGCTCCAAAAATACTTCCAATAAACCCTACAGCCCCGTAAGCCCCTTTTAAGAAGCGCAGGGCCTTGCATTCTTAATGGAGAACCTATGCTGCGTTGCTGTCAAGGAAAATCAACGAAGTTACAATAGCAAGGAGCCCATCTTATGCACGACCTAAGAATGAAACGGATCCTCAACCTGTGCGCAAAGGGATAGACCAGGAAATCCAACCCTCACAGCACAAAAGAGAGTATGGGTACTGCTATCCTAGCCTCAGAACCCTAAACCCTTAACCCCTAAGAACCCAGAACCCAGAATCCAGAGCCCAGAACCCTAAACCCTAAACCTAAACCCTAACCCCTAAGGAACCCCTAAACAGAGCCCCAAATCCACTTCTTTGGAGGGAGGCGCCTGGTCTAAGGTTGTAGCATTTATGTAGGGTTCAGGGTTCAGGGTTCAGGGTTCAGGGGTTCAGGGTTCAGGGTTCAGGGTTTAGGGTTTAGGGTTTAGGGTTTAGGGTTTAGGGTTTAGGGCCAGGGTTTAGGGTTTAGGGTTTAGGGTTTAGGGTTTAGGGTTTAGGGTTTAGGGTTTAGGGTTTAGGGTTTAGGGTTTAGGGTTTAGGGTTTAGGGATTTCGGGTTTAGGGTTTAGGGTTTAGGGTTTAGGCCTACCCTGCTTAGCCCCCCCCCCCTCCCTCCCTCCTCCCCAGCTCCCAGATGCGCGCGCCTGGAAATGTGGCAGGGTTCCAAGGAGGGGCGCCCTTACTATACTTACTAGAGTTAAGGGACTGAAAACCTGAGTTAGGATCCCTGTAACCCTCAACCCTAAACCCTAAACCCTGAACCCTAAACCCTAAACCCTGATAACGCTACTTATAACTACTTATAACTAGGGGGGAGGGGGGGGGGGGCCCCTCCTTGTAGGGCTCGGAAGGATCAGAACCGGCGCCGCCCGGGTCCGGAGACAAGCCAGCGCCCATCCCGAGCAATCGCAACATCCTTAAAGAAGGTTAGTACATGCTTTCTACACATACATATACATATACATATACATATGCATATACATATACATATATATATATATATACATATGTGTGGACGCCCCCCCAACAAGATCCACCCCCAAGGCTTTTCGGAGCACATATATATATATATATATATATATGTGTGTGTGTGTTTGTGTGTACACATATATACATACATACAAACACACAAAAAAGAATAGTATACATGTACATAATAAATAAATATATATATATATATCTGTGCATACGGATATTTGCAAAAATAATGGGGTTGTACAACCATAGGGGTCCAGGGTGGAGTCCCATGATGAGCGCAGTCTGATCGCAAGCATGGCTGTGCGTGGAAGCATGACAAGGGCGAGCACAGAATGTCGGCTGGAGCCAAACCCGACCCTGCACCTTGAGGGTGTAAGGTTTAGGGTAGAACCTAAACCCAGGCGCCCAAAGCAAAGCCACAGACCTGAACCCGAAATCGATAGTTGGAGGCCTTTGTTCCTGAGCCATTTGCCTCGGGTTTTACGGCCTTAGGGCTTGGTGGGGGTTTGAAGGCTTCATGGCTTTAATTTAAGGTTTTGGGGCTTCAAGGCTTCAGGGTTGGTGTTACGGTTTTAGGACTTTGGGGTGGCCCCTAAACCCTAAACCCTCAGCTGTCGGTTAAATCGTCTGCAGAAGTGTTTTTGATGTTGGAAAACCACCCTCGCAAGGTCTTGAAAGTCCCTGACACACATATGCCGGGTTTAGGGTTTAGGGTTTAGGGTTTAGGGTACCTAAACCCGAAATCCCAAACTCTAAACATTATAAAGGCCGGTGGCCTCTTTATCTGTTACCCTTATACCAACAAAAAGCCAGAATAGATACCCGAATAAGAGCCCCCCTACAAAACAGAAACCCTACTGAAAGAGACCACCAACCACCCTAAACCCTAAACCCTAAACCCTAAGCCTTAAACCCTAAACCCTAAACCCTAAACCCATGTAATCTAAACAGTAAGCCCTAAATCCTACATCCCAGAAGCGCTCCACCTCGACTGGGGTGGAAGCCTTGGCACACAGGGATATGTTGGATAAGAACATTAGGGGTGTATAGGGTTTAGGGTTTAGGGTTTAGGGTTTAGGGTGTAGGATTCAGTGACAAGGGTTTAGAGTTGAGGTTTTACCAGCAGGGCTTCCGGCTTAGCATTGCAGGGCTTGGGGAGGCGATCGAGCAGTCGCGAACTTGCAAGGGTTTAGGGTTGAGGGTTTAGGGTTTAGGATTGAGGGTTTAGGGCTCAGGGTTTAGGTTAGGGTTTAGGGGCGTTTGCCGAGGTGTACCCGGATGCTGCCCCGAAACCCTAAGCCCTTTAAGCCCTGTACGCCCCTCAACCCTACCTTACGAACCCCCAAGCCTTCATGGATGTAGGCTATTGATTTTCAACCCCGTCTGGGTTACTTAGGTAACCCTACAAGAACAAGTTTCTTAAGGCGAAGGCCTATCAGCTCGGCCCACAACCCTTGAAGGTCCCCAACTCAACGCCACAAATCCTGAGTCACGCCAGCTCCAAGCCCCCTGATAAGGTACCAAGTGTGGGCCCTTACTCTGGGGCTCCCTGTAATGGAACCCTTACATACACTATACATGAGAAGGGCCCATACTTGGAGGTTCATTACTTATAACCCCAATTATAACTGTACTTACAAGCCCCCTAAGTCCTCAAAGTAGGTTTTAAGTGGACTTATAAGTGGGGTTCTTACTCTAAACCCTGAAACCAAAACCATAAACCCTGAACCCTGGACTCTAAACCCTAAACCCTAAACCCTAAACCCTAAACCCTAAACCCTAAGAACCTCCAAGTACTTCGGATCCCTACTCGCCAGGGGTAAGGGGCCAGACGGAGGGCCCCCGTGTGGTTCCAACTTAGACCCTCAACCTCAAGGGTTTAGGGTTTAGGGTTTAGGGTTTAGGGTTTAGGGTTTAGGGTTTAGGGTTTAGGGTTTAGGGTTTAGGGTCCAGGGTTTAGGGTTTAGGGTTTAGGGGTACTTATTCACCAGTTATAACTGTACTTATAACCCACTTGTTTAAGTGCACCCTAATAAGGTTATAAGTACAGTTATAATTGGTAAAT